ATATGATCTTGTAAGTGTTGCAGATATGATCAAAGGGAATGTTTGATGGAAACATTAATGTGAAAGCATGCATAAAAGGAAAGGTTGTTTCTTGAGTCATAGTGTTCTGGAAACAACAGTAGAAGAGGAGTCCTTCACATATATACAATAAGAGATGGTAAACCGCTTTTGACCATAGAGACAACAATAAAATCTAAAGATCGTAGACTACTTTTCACCATAGAGACAGCAAGGGAGGACTAAAGTCTATACATATCTGGCTGAGAGTAGTCACCACGACAAAAATGCACCATGAGAACCCGGCGCTGCTTTGTGGTGACCTTGAAACGAAAGGCAGAGATGTCTCCATGGATTTTTGCAAGGCAACGGAACTCAGACCGGTTGATTGTTACAATGGCTCTCTTGTCGGTTCCTAGCATGATGCGGCAATTGGCTTGTAGATCACTGTTTGCAAGCCTGACCTTGAGCGTATCATAATCTGGGTCAATGTAATCATTTAGTTTTCTTTCAGTGTAGTTGACCTGAAAATACTGATGAGAAAAAAGGAATTAATTCAATGGATTGGAAAGTGTCTTGTCACTCTTACACTGAGAAGGTTTAAATATAGATAGCGAGAACATTCATCAGCAAATAATGGCAGGAAGCAAAAGGAGGGTGCAGAGCATGCTACATTCCTTCCAATGTGGAGTATAAGATGTAAATTGGCTGTTTCTGTATGTATGGTACTCTAGTGAAGGAGAACAAATATAGGAAGGAAGAAAACATGTATATCAGACTATATGAATATTAGTTTCTAAAGTTACATGTATACAGTTTTTTCAATATTTCGCAATTAAGTCAATTTGGTGAATCAAAAGCATACTGCAGGTTATACTTCTAATGATTAGTCAAGTACAAGTAGTTTAGTTGTGAGGCATAAGTAAAGATAGTTCTTTTTTTCTATGAAGTGGAAAGAAGGAGTTTACCATCGGTTGGCCTAGCTTTGCAAATGTTTTGTTGATGGTGCAGACATAGTATTTGATATCTGTTTTTCTGCGGCGGAACATGGCAAACAACTTGTTCACATGGTGCTGATAGAGCTTCACTTCAGTGCCCCAGTGACAATACCTTTCAAGCTCTCTGCAGTATTGGATAGCAGGGGGTGGTCCTGAATTTAGTTTCGTTTTGGTAAGATTTGGAAAGATCGAAATGACATGTAAGGAGGCTGAATACTATTTATTGTTAGGAGACTAAGCTTTCATCAAGAGAAAAATAGAATTAAGCTTTAAACCTATGGTAGGAAGAATATAGTAAGCAAGTTAGTTAACTTGAGCATTATTGATCGGCCTAATATATGTTCTTTCGGTTCTATGGCAGAAAATTGGTGTCAGAGAGGTATAGCAGATCATAAAAACTATTAGGTCATTTTATTTTAAATGGGGAATATCAGAACAAGATAATAAGCATTGTAGCTTGGCATTGGCTCACTGCGAATGATATACTCCTGATGCTCATATTCTTCACCCTGTATAAGCATCGTGAGAATTGTTAGTGCGAGAAATCAGAAACTTGTTAGCTGGCAATAGCAATTGTGGGCATATAGTTTAATTATGCACTTTAAAAGAGTACTAAGATGGATTTAACTTGTCTAGTTTGGTTCTTTTATACATAAACCAGTACGTAATATATGTGCATCAACCGTTTGTGGCTATTTAATTCCTTTTGCCGGCTAATGTCTGTAAGAACTGTAGATATGGGGCTAAACAGTGTACCAGCTGTTGCATTATATATATCGTGTGATGCATAGCAGGCCTAACAATCAGTTAAGTAAATAACTATAGAGGTTATATGCAATCATGGCAGAAAAGTCTGGAAAATTGTGAAAATCTGAAGTATTTGCCAAAGGGTGGAGAGGCAGGTCAAATACGAGGCGGTGAATTCATGGATAAAATAAGATTGAGCGATTCTAAAACCCAGTGTTAGCCGCATCTGGTGGGATTCGGAATGGGTGGCCGTTTTTGCTGCAGAATAAGACGGTGCTTGGCAATGGGCTGGGATTGGCGATGGCTCACCTTCGATGCCAGGTTCAAGCAATTCCCTCAGTACTCCTGTAGAACATTGTGAGATGGTCAGGCATATCTCTCTGCATCGTGCACCCTTGATTATGCAACAGTCAATGCAAGGAAACTGAGAAGTAACAGAAAACATGGTACTCATCTTGTCTTGTTATGGTATACCAAAAGGATATGATGTTTGAGGAGATGTTCACCTTCCCTTTTAATTGGATGTTAAAAAGGTTCCAAGTTTAGTAATTTCTCCTTTTACTATCTCATGCACAACCCAAGTTACCAAAAGTAACCATGCATCAGCCAGTATCGAACCAGGAATGAGCCCAAATATCAACTTGGAAGTTGTTAAAAATATATGCAAAATCTATATCCTTCTATTTTTTCTCTTATCCCTTTCATTGGAAGAACATGATATAGAATTCAGTGTACATGTGCAGAGGTAGCAAGTGGCCAGCTACAAAATGTTGATCCAAAATATGATTAAGATATTAGAATAAATTACATGTTCCACTTTTCATCAACCAATTCATGCCATAAATCCTTTATCAAGCAATCAAGACCATTGAGCATCATGGAGAGAAATATAAAAGATGTGATGGATAATGTTGCCATCTTAAATTAAAAAAGTTGACACACCATGGGTTCAAAATACTGTACATAGCGATTAGGTCTTGACTACAAGTCTGTAATATGTTGACCCCAAAATTCATCCAAAAATAGATATAATTACGAATCTTTTGAGGATGAGCGATTACGTGAGGTGAGTGTTGTTGCTACTGTTTCCAGCAAGAGGGCATTGTCTATGGCTATGCACCTACGAAATAAACATGTCTTGAATGTAACAAATGGTTTTATGAATTGTATGGATATGCACCTACGAAATAAACATGTCTTGAAAGTAACAAATGGTTTTATGAATTAATGTGTGTCCAAATCATAATATGATCGTCAAGGACATGTGATCCACATAAATAAAGGACAGCTATGTAGCTAACGGAATCACTAATCTTAAGTAATTCTGGAAGAGAACTTACAACTTGATCCAGACATATATATCTTCATGTAACCTTAAAACCATATATATCCATTTCTTCAAGACATATATATTTCTCTGCTCCTGATCACTTCATGCTAATTTATCCAAAAAGTGCTTGGTCTGATCAATATAATACAATCAAGATTTGACGGTTATTGCAACAAGCGCTCTGACACCAATATATTAAACCATCTTCTTCCTGGAAGCAATGAACAACCAAAATATATCTTATTCTAAAAAGTGATATGCAAAAGAGTAATTGATGATGGGCATGCAACAAACTTATTTCCAGTATGTATCTACCTTCAGTTAGAAATTAAAAAGATGTACTGAGGATTACCTAGGTTGTATGCCCTGGTGCATAAATCTCAAAGACTAATTAGTTTGGACCTCAAAGTTTCAAGAAGCCTAATTCTTATAAAACCCTAATCCCTAGAAAGAAAATAATCACCTCTAGTATTCAATAACACATCTATAAGAGATAAATTTAAGTTGGTTTGATATTTTGATGGTACAATTGGTGAGCATGCCCTAAACTACCATATCACTGAAAAGTAAGCAACCAATGGAGCTATAGAAACCAACACAACTGAGAAGATGTAGTAGTCCATTGTATGGCAAAAGGGAACTAACATCATATGAAATTGCAGATCTGAAAGATGCAAAGTAGGCAAAAGGTGGATGTACAGAAGCTGAACCTGCTCCTGGGTGATGGCCACACTCACGCTCGGTAGCTCGTGCATAGATACTGGATAGTACCTGCATATGTATGAGATGGCAGTGGAAGATTGGGTCTGGTAGAAATGATTTGGATGGTTGAGGGCAGAGCAACATAGCAGCACCGCTGGTACAGCAACACCTGCCTCACAACCATCCAAACGCCTTGTTGAGGTCGGGCGCGGTGGCCTGGCAATCGAGGGACTGCTGGGAGATGTCCATCACATATCAACGAGCTGATGCAGCTCGAGGTCGAGGCATCAAAGAAACCGGTGAGTGGACGTTGGTGGTCGGGCTGAGCTATCTTCCTCGCTTGCTCCGGTGAACAGGCCACTCCTCTATTTTATTCACTGTGGATAAAAACACTTGGTACATCAGACCATCAATACACGTTTTGTCCATCTGCTAATATTTAATTATTCATATCATTTCATGATTTGACATATTAGAGCATAGTCAAATATAGAGTGGGCTGGTAGTATAAAGAAACCTGGAGAACTACCTGCTCATACACTCTGTCAGTATCTACCTCCTCCCTAGGTAAGTTGCTCACTAATGATGCAGAATATGGAGATGATGCAGAACCTGGAGAACACCTTGTCATCCACTCCATCAGTGTCTACCTCCTCCATAGGTAAAGAACTTGATTTTACTCTGAATCAAAGAGCAGCCCCCTGAAGATAGAAAACTGTATGGAGTTAATTGTCATATTGGGAATTACCTCAGCTTTGCTCTGTTGCTAGTCAATTAAATTGACTCTGGTGTGCTGCGGTAAATGTGGTGCTATCTGCTATGGCAAAGGAAAAAGAAACAAAGAAGAAAGAAGAATCCCAGTGAACAAGGGATGTAAGTTTTCTGCTGAGTATAGGAAAATCTATGGAAATTCATTGGCATCATCAAAACAAACAAAACTAATTTGTATCTCATTGGCTACTCTCCAGATCTGAGCCTCTCCTTTTTGCATTCACAACAAAAAGATAAGAGATGGAGCTAGCATACCTGCAGATGCACTGGTGAGGGTGAGGTCGCCCGCAAGTACACCCAACTCTGGCTGAGGATACCAGCTCCTCCGCGCTGCTGATATATGGGAAACCACCATGAGCACGAGCGCGCACGTGGCCTCACAGAGCACCGACATGGCGTTCACGGAGCAGATCCTCTATGCCAGGAAGGCATTGGCAGCGAGCTTGGAGAGCTCATCAGACCACAGGTTGGTGATGACGATGTTCTCCTCGGACACCCAGTAGGCGTACACCTCCTTGATGGCCTGGACAGCCTTCCTGCCCTCGGGGGTCTCCCGGCCACCGATGAGCACTCTGTCGGGCTTGAACAGGTCGTCGGTCGCCGTGCCCTCGGCAAGGAAACTCTGGGTTGGTCAGGATCTGGTAGTTGATGCCCTTGTTGTTGTGGGTCAGGATCTTCTCAATGGCCTCTGCGGTCTTGACAGGGACAGTGGACTCATCAACATCGATCTTGTCGGAGTTGGACATGTCGGCAATCATCCGGGCTGCGCTCTCCCAGTAGGTGAGGTCGGCAGCCTTGCCGGCTCCCAGACTGTGGGTCTTGGTGGGGGTGTTCACCGAGACAAAGATGATGTCGGCCTCGGCAATGTGCTTCTCGACGTCGGTGCTGAAGAAGAGGTTCTTGCCCCTGCACGCCTTGACAACATCATCGAGGCCGGGCTCGTAGATCGGGAGGGTGTCGTTGTTCCAGGCGTGAATGCGGGGCTTGGAGATGTCGACAACCACCACCTCAATTGTTGGGCACTTGATGGCAATGACAACCATTGTTGGGCCGCGGACGTAGCCAACTCATATGCAGCAGATCTTCACCGTCTTGGCTGCCTACAACATGTGATCACAACAAAGTAATTATGTTAAGAGGATTGAAAAATAGGGCATCCACTGCTCTTACTACACATCTCAGACTCAGAGTAAACAGAAGCAACCGAGATTCAGATCTTAAAAAGACAGTATGTGTTAGAGATGCATAGTTGAAGCCACATAAATGTTCTAAGAAATATTCTACCCAAATAATTGAGCAAAAAAGCATGAACAATACTCAGTAATCAGATGCTGGCAACATCACGGCATGATCAAATCTGAGGGTAAAAAACGGTGTGCCTACTTCTGCAGACTGCATACAAAGGAGCATGACAAACTGAACGGAGATCACACCAATCGTCCAAATCCAGCGGGTATGCCATCAAATATCCTCGTTTGATATGCCAACAAAGATCACACGGGGATGTTGTCAAAACCAACACATCAACACACATCGCTTTCAGTAGGCAAAAATTGAGCAAGGGAGTGGGAAGGAACCCAACCTTGATGGCTAACGACATGGAGGACCCAAGAACCAACCGAGAAGGAAAGAGAGAATGAGTAACATATCATCTTATAGACATTTCATCAAACACGCCAGGAGCATCGTACCGAAGAACATCTCATCTTCTTATGACAACAATGAGAAGCGGTAGAATGCAAGGAGCAGTAGCAAACCGAAAATGAGAGCAGCCCCGTCAATCCTGCAAGAGGAAAGGAAAGCAGAAGAAAGGAAAAGTGAGGAATCAAATCGCCCAAGGTAATAAGAACGAGAAAGCGGGGCCAGTTTCATGAAAGAGAACGCAACGCCGCCGTTGCTGCTCCCATCCACCCAAATTAATGATTGACGAACCCACAACAACAATTATAGAAAATCAATTATATTATTATAACCAGGTCCATCGAGGAAACATATCTAAACATACAGGGGACAAACATATCAACATGGCTAAATATTCTCCTAAAAAGCATGAATAAACAAAGCAAGAAGACGATCCATCGAGCACAACATATCTAAATATAACATCCATCTATTGTATCAAGCAAACTGCCACCAAAAACATGTAGGAAGGAGTTATCTTCGGATTCTCAACCTCTCCAGCCAGCATACTGATTCAATCCCAATAGTTGAGGTTCCAAAACAGAGTGTTTAGATACTGGCCCCAATTCACATTGTCCAGGTCCATTTCAAGTCATCTTGAAGGTTCAATATGTGGAATTCCTATCAATCAAGATAAGACTCTGATGTAATAGACTGCCGAAAACTAATGATTTGCAGTATATGATAAACAACCTTTTGTACTATATAGTGTACATTAAAAAAATCCTATCTTGATAACCATGATAGCAGAAAGATCTAAGTATCCCTGCAAACAATTATTCTGCTATTTTTTTTCTTCTTGTTGGCATAATCAGGCACTACAACAACTATCCAGATTAAAAAATTTCCAAATCCCAGACTCATTTTTATGTGGTATTGCTAGTTCTTGCACATATTGTAAAAGACACCACCAGCATGGATTTTAAGAAATAGACTGGAAGAGCTCACGAAACACAATGTTCCTGGTCTGAGAATCAGTAGTACCATCTTCATTTTCAATCAGGATTTTCAAAGCCGTTTTTGAGGTCACACACGACACTGCTACATAAAGCTGGCCATGCTGAACACAGGTGCATTAAAGTATAGACCAACACTGCATAACACAATGTTCAGTACGTTCAGACAACAATTTCTGTCCAAAGCAAGTGGCGAGTGTAACCAAATAATCAGTTTCAGTAGGCTTAACCTCTCCCCATATGTCGTTGGGAAGTGGAAAAGAAAAAGGTCGTTGTGGTGTGATCGTATCGGATAGGAATATTCAGCTATGGGAAGGAAGGAGGAGATTCACCCGGCTGAGTCTACCATTTCTTCCTCTTTATTAAAAAAACAAAATCAAATCTCCCATTGATTTGGGAGAGTCTCTTGATAATATAGCTTGCCTCAAAATCAGAGAAATTATATCAATCAGAGATCATTGCCTCTTTCTCCTTGCCCCTTCCGCTTACTCCGGCATCGACTCGTCATTTGAACTTTTTATGGGTTCTCTCCTTTCATCCTCCCCCAGTCACCCTATGTCCATGGCTAATCTATACCTCCAAGGCCGACTCGCTACCCGCCACCTCATGCAGGACTGTAAACTGAATTGTAGACTGTAGTGCTTCTCTGAAATATTTTTTAATCAGTTTTCACCTCGTTCAGTGAAAATTAATATAGGTACTTCTCTCAAATATTGGTTCAGTGCTAAACTGAATTGCATACTGTAGTGCAAGTATTTATAATTTATTTGATACAACTTTCTGTACATGCCTATTCTTTGTCCTACAATATTTTGACTCCTACCTATTTTCTTATTTTGGCAGGCGTACAACAAGACATTTGCAAACAGAGCATCAGCAAATTAGCTTTATGTTTTAGTAAAGGTGCCCACTGTCGTTTCCCAATTCAGAGATGCGTTTCAGCATTTGTTCAAAACTAACACTCATATGTAACTAAGAAACGATGTACAAAGGCTTTTCTCAATGTACAAGTGGTTTTGTAAGCAATTTGTTACAGTCAAATGGCCAGAAAGGACTGCACGTGTGTTACTGCTGCGACAACACATCGACTTTGTGAAAAATGGTCAACTGCATCTCTAAACTGATATTATTGTTCAGTTTTAGCTTCTAAATACACTCCTAAATTAAACCAAGAGGCGAGCATGTCATCTGTATACAAAGCAACACCACAGAAGCCTAATCTGTCAAGAGCAAGAGTCAAATATATTTGTCAGATATATAGTTCATATTGTGCAGTTAGCAAACAAAAATAAATGTTCCTGAAGGTATGTATATCAGCTATCCGTTCATTTCTCCACTTTTCCCTGTTTCTAGTTTGAAACATGGCACAACACAATGATGAATCTCATGTTTCAGTTTACACTGAGATCTGAACCCAGTGTGTATGCATGAATGTTTTGTAGGACAGTAGTGCACACAACATAGAAAGGGACGCGGAAAGAGAAGGGTCGGGGCTAGTGGCGGCTCACCTCAGTTCGATGGTGTGCTGATCTCTTGCGCTGCGCTAGAGGGGGCGAGGCTGCGCTGGCACCACGGTCCTCTCCATGGCCGAATCTCGTTGAGGAGCAGCTCCACCGACACCGCCGGGGACGCAGCCGACCTCTTCCTTCCCGGCAGCCCCACTGCACCACGACGGCCGGCTTCTTCCTGTCCTCGTCGCCCGCTTTCCCTACTCCTTCACCCAACCATCAGCCTCACCTAACCTACGCCTGATCTGGATCTAGGCACATCCCATGGACACCACACAACGAGGGGGAGGAAGGAGAGGTGGAGGGGCTAGCGTTGTGGAGAAGTAGTGAAGAGAAGGACGAGCGGCGCTCGATCCGAGAAACGCCACCGTGGCCGCAAGAAACCAAATGGAACGGGAGAGCGGCTAGCAAGAGTCCCACCCTCTGGACCGTGTGCCTCCCCTCGCCGCACCGCTTGCTGCCACCCAACTCTCCCACCGGCCACAGCGAAGTCCCACCGCCGGGCAAGTGCCGGTGCCGGGTCGCCTCTGCACACCAAGCAACGTGACCATGATACCCCATTACATGTGTGCACACATCCAGCCATCAAGCTCAGGAGTGCTCATACCTGGAGTC